GTTCGTGGCGCTTCGTGGGGAGGGGGTTTCAGTGGGGGGCAGACCCCGGGGTGGTTTGGGGGCGATTCCGGAATTATTTCCTTTCTCTCAAAGCGCGGAGATTCCTCTCAGCCCCAAGGAGTGAACCAAAGGGTGCTTTTTTCCTTCCCTCCCTCCCCGCCCCCCTATTGAATTAAGTCAAACAGGAGCTCCGGGAATGCTGTACTAAAAGGAATTGTATTATTCAGGCAGCAGTTGATAGTGTAATTTTATCCTTCGCTGCAATGAAGGTTATTGTTTCTCGTTTTGTTATTCTGTAGGACGTTAGTTTGGGGATGCTCCTTGCTGCTCTGAGGTGCTCTGCTGGTCCTGCATGTCTGTAGTGCCCTGAAAAGGGCAATATTGTATTTAATAGTTATATCTGCTGAAAACCACGACCTGCTAAGAGGACACTGAGCCCAGGCCTCTGCTCTCCAATTCATTTGCTGAGATTTTCCATGATGTACTTGAGACATAAGAAAGCTCACACATTCAATACCCAGAACTAATCTATTATTTCCTGCTAAAACATTTGTTTTCATTGTCTATCCAATTATTTTTTCCTATTATTTCTGCTAAATGGTGAAAGAAAAATTCCATCTGCATTCATTAGGCAGCAAATAGGCCAGGAGAAAATCAATCCAGCGCTGTAACATATTTTATTATGTCTGCGCTGATGTTCTTTAAAGCTGTTTTTTATTAATTAGCCTGGTGTGGTTTATGAAATACACTTGGAGGCCAGGAAGTGAGTTACAAGAAGTAGCTCCTAACAGGGAGTGAGCAGTGGGAAGTCGGGCTGGAGAGGGCTGTTCCTTTTAGAGCAACATGTTGATCACCCTGAGCACAGACAAATCTTTCCCTTGCAGGTCTTTGCTTTGTTATTTCTGCAGCCTCACACGGTAACAAACTGGGTTCATCTTGGCTACAAATCCAGTAATCCTGTTAGGATTTGCTGGTGCTGAACCTCAGCTGTTTGCTTAACCTTTATGGCTTTAATTCACAGAGAAATAATTTGAGTTTATGGTGTCAGGCTGACTTGGTGTTGCAGGGGAGACTTAAATTCTTGTCTTTTTCTGTCTTGTTTCATGAGCTGTGTATTAGGAGTTGAAAGAGTGGAGTTCAGCTGGTGCTTAGGTAGTTCTTCCATCAAAGCTGGACTTGGAGGAATTTCTCCATGGGAAGGGTGGTCAGGTCCTGGAAGGGGCTGCCGGGGAGGTTTGGAGTCCCCATCCTGTCCGATGAACAACTGGCCATGGGCTGGGTGACCAGGTGGGCACAGGCTGGATGATCCTGGAGGGCTTTTCCATCCTCACAATGCTGGGATTCTGTGGTGTTTTCACGCCGTGTTCCTGCTGCAGGTGGAAAACGTGAAGTTGCTGGATCGCTACGCCAACAGGAAGGCAGCGAGCGGGACCTTGTACCTGACAGCCACACACCTGATCTACGTGGAGGCCTCTGCTGAAGTCAGGAAGGAAACATGGGTATGGTGGGCTGGAAACACACCTGGAAAAGCTGCTTCGGGTCCCAGAATGGATTAGATGGGGAGAAACTTGAAGGATCATCCCATTCCACCCCTGCCATGGGCAGGGATATCTCCCACTATTCCAGAGTGCTCCAACCTGGCCTTGGAACTTCCAGGGGTCCAGGAGCAGCCACAGCTTCTCTGGGCACCCTGTGCCAGGGCCTTCCCACCCTCCCAGCCAGGAATTCCTTCCCAATATCCCATCCAGCCCTGCCCTCTGGCAGTAGGAAGCCATTCCCCCTTGTCCTGGAACTTTATGCTGTCATTTTCAGAATGAGCAGGTGTGGGAATTCCAGAGCTGTAGTGGTCTTCCAGAGCATTTTGATACCAAATGCTTGCCAGAAACAGCTGGTTCGGAAGGAAGTGAGCACAATGGTGACATGACTCGATGGAGTTCACTCATGGAATTTGTGTCAGTTCAAGGAATGTAGAAACACTTGTGTAATTTCCTATTTCAAACTCAATATACAAGACTGCTAAACATGAATTTGCAGCTTTTAGAGGCGCAGAACTAGCAGTGAAATGAGCCTATTTTATTAATTCTAAGGTGAAGTGGGAATGACAGAATGTATTTCTTATGGAGGTGAAAGGAGAGCCAAGTGCACCAGGAAAACTGAGCTGCACATCTGCCTCTGAAAGTAATTTATGTACCTCTGTGTTTTCAATCCTGCTTTAGTTCCCTGGCTTTTGGGTGCAGTTTGTTTGATTAATATCAGAAATAAACTCATTTTCTGCCGCTCCTTAGCTGCAGGAAGCATCAACAGCTTGATTGTCACAAAGGTTTCCCATCTGCTTGCACTGCTCCCAGCTTTATCAGTGACAAATGATGTTTATTCCCTTTTCTCCAGATCCTGCACCACCACATCTCCAGCGTGGAGAAGCTGCCCCTGACCACGGCTGGGTACCCCCTGCTCATCCACTGCAAGAACTTCCACGTGGCTCACTTTGTGATTGGGCAGGAGAGGGACTGCCAAGATGTGTTCACCTCCCTGCTCAAACTCTCCCAGCCAGGTACTGGGCTTGGAAATCTGTCCTGGGAATCTCTGGAATGCTCCAAGATGAGCCCTGGGAAAGCTCTGCTGCCCCATGGTTGGGTTTGGTGGGGAGGAGTGGGATCAGAATCAGCTTCCAGCAGGGATGTTGGCAGGGGTCAGGGAGCTGAGCTCTGAGGAGATCAGATCACATCTTCTTCCAAACTGAACAGTCTTGGGAGCCAACAAGAAAGATGGAGAGAGATTATTTACAGGAGCCTGGAGTGACAGGACAAGAGGGGATAGATTCACACTGTGAGGGCAGGCATGGATGGGATATTGGGAAGGAAGGAAGGAATGTGAGGGTGATGAGGCCCTGGCACAGGGTGCCCAGAGAAGCTGTGGCTGCCCCTGGATCCCTTGAAGTTCCAAGGCCAGGCTGGGAGCACCTGGGACAGTGGGGGATGTCTGGATGAGCTGTTGCAACCCAAACCTCTCTGTGATTCAGTGGCTCTGGCAGTGGGAGTGACGTGGTCTCCCATGAGGAACTTGTGGAGAGCTGTGCAAAGTTCATATCCCAAACCTGGCCACTGTCACTCCCTTGTGTCACCCAGCTATTGGCTGTGTGCAGTTCTGCCCTTTCCAGCTGATGCAGGCAATCACAGAATTCCCAAATCCCACAAATTGGCATTTTTGCTGTTTCCAGCAGCGTGGTTAGGCTGCTCTGCAGTGTTTGCTCACTTGTGAAAGCCTGTGCTTCACCCTGACTTGGAGTCACTCTTAGAGCATGAGCCAGACACCCTCAAAAGCCTGTGCTCTCTTCTAGCTCCAGCTTTTTATTCCAGCATGGATGAATCTTCAGGCTTTTCTTGCAGGACAGCATTCCACTGAGCTCCTACCTGGCTTCTGCCTCTGGCAGCCTCTGCTTTTGGGGTGCTGGAACCAGTATTTGGAGTTGTGTTGTTACAAGGATGTCATTTGTAGTTGCAATTGGTGATGGTGTCACCAGGCTGAGGGAGGGGAATTAATGGCACCAGGCAGCTTCTTGCTGGGCTGGAAATCCTGTGGGAGAAACGGGCTTAGCTGAGTTTAGATATTCTAAAAATTGGTATTAAGGCCTGTGTCTGTTCCCAGCAACCCTGCACTTGTGCTTTTTGGGGTTTTCTTAGCTCTGAAGTTCTGCCTGTGATGCTGTTGCTGGCAGGTTTGTGGTGTTGCATTTAAAAGCTGTCACTGCTCTTTGAGGTTTGAAAATTAGAAGTTTGGGTAGTGCTTGAAGCGTGGGAGTTGTCACTTGAGGGGCTCACTTTGGCTCAACAGTGTCAATGCTGTAGCTCTTTCTTTTCTTCTACTTCTGGATTGTAACAGCACATTTTTGTTTTAAGATGTTTTGATGTTTTAAGATGATTTGTTTGAAGATGTCTGAGTGTGCTCCCTTCATGGATTTTTGGCAGAGCACATCTTTACTGATGATTTGCACATGTGTGATGGACAGCTCTGGGTTACCTGCTCAGTACCCAGCTGCTTTATCAGCCTCTGAGAGCTTTCCCTCTGTCTCTGGAGCTGCCTTGAGAATCAGCTGGATGAGTTGTTGGTTGGATTTGCATTTTGTGAAGAGAGGGAAGGAGGTTGGGACGATAAATGTGCACTTGTCAGAGCCAGCCACCCTTTGTTGGGCTGACAGCAATATTCCAGACATCCCTCAGGTTTTCCAGTCTCAGAATTTGTTGTTGAGCAATGACCTTACAGGTGTTCAGGAGCTGTTGTATGAACTCTCTACGGAAAACAGATCTTTTAATCCATGTTTTCTTGTGTGGGTTAATGATTGGGATATAAATCCCATCTCACATGCTTACTACAGCAAATTCAGGAGGAAATAATTTTTTCAGGAGAAATTAGTTCTTCCAACTTGGGCTAAAACACCTTGTTAAAATTAATGTATCTCCCTGCATGTGGGAACTGATTATTGGAAAATTCCTGAGGCTTTCAGAATGAATTTCAGCACTTGGTACTGTCCCAGCCAAAAATCTATAAAAGGTTGAGAAGTCTTAAATACTTTGAATACTCCTCAGGAGCACTCAGTCATTGATTTCCAGAAGTTTTGCCCTCCCTGGATGTCTTTGCACCTCATGTTGATTTTTTTCCTTTCTCCTTCCCAGTGAAACCTGAAGAACTTTATGCTTTCTCTTACAATCCTAAAATGTCCAAGGAGAACCGGGAAATGGGATGGAAACTGATTGATCTGAGACTGGATTACCAGCGCATGGGAATTCCCAACGACTCCTGGGAAATAACAGATATTAATAAGGACTATGAGGTAATTCCTGCCCAAAGGAGCCATCTCATGCACTATCTCCTTGTTGTTATTAATGACAGCCCTGCTGCTGCCTCTGGGGAGGAAGGAGCTCGCTTGGTGTGGGTCAGAGCACATCATCTCGATGGGGAGTTGCAGATAATGATGCTCCAGGAGAGCTGCAGAGTCACCTTGCTGTGTTTGATCCCCCTGGCAAGAGAGCAGAGCCTTGTTTTTCTGCAGAAATGTCAACCCATCTGTTAGGCAAAGCCTCAAGTACCCTGAGCTGTTTTTGGTATTTCCAAAGCCTGTCCCACCTGGCTGGTGACAGATGTGGAGGAGAGAAGGAAATGGCAGCAGTTTGGATTGGTGGGGAATGAGGCAGAGTGGGGAGGGACTAGGGAAGGAAAGAAGGGAAAAACAGCAGTGGAAAACAGACCTTTTTTTTTGCTTTCTCAGTTGGATCTTCTGCTATCTAAGGGCCCTCTGTCATTTCAGTCTGAACTGCCTGCTGCTGTTATTTCCCTGAAAGGCCAACTTGGATCTAAACAACATGAAACAAAAGCATTTGTCAGCAAGCTTGTTCAAAATCCTGCTCCACATTATTTCCCTTTTTATTTCCTCTGGGGCTGTGTGCAGTCAGACCTGGCTGTTGAAAAGCAAAGCAAGCAACTCCAAGGAAGACACCAACATATTTATAACCCTGAATCCCTTTCCCTGGTAACTTTCTGTACTTTAAGCTCTGACTTGAAGAAATCCAAGCCTGTGCTGTCAGAGGGCACTGCCTCTTTTTGACCTGCCTGGAGGCCTGAATTGAGCTCTGATGTGAGAGGTGCTGTTCCCAGTAGCTGCTGAGGGCAGCTGGATGTGGCCATCTCAAATCATTCATCACTCTGAGGCTTTGCTTGCTGCTGTGCAACTCTCAGGTGTTCTGGGGTTTCCTCAGACTTTCCAGCCTGTGGTTTAGAATTGTCAAGCCTGATGTAAAGCCAGGCTTGGAGAGCAGCTTGTCTGGGAAGTCCATGCTGCAAAGACCGTGTTTGTTTGAGGAGAAAGGGTGAAGCTGCCCTCTGAGGATTCCACCTGAGTGCTGGAAGTGCCTTTCAAGTTGCAAAACACTTTTTTAAATACAGTTGTTCTTAATTTCTCCTTTTGTGAGAAGGAATTGTTCCCTGGCAGGGTGGGCAGGCCCTGGCACAGGTGCCCAGAGCAGCTGTGGCTGCTCCTGGGTCCCTGGAAGTGTCCCAGGCCAGGCTGGATGGGGTTTGGAGCAGCCTGGGACAGTGGGAGGTGTCCCTGCCGTGGCAGGGGGTGGGATGGCTTTAGTGTCCCTTCCAACCCAAACCATTCTGTGAATCTAAATTAGAAACTTCCATCAAATTTCTGGATTTAAAGAGCTTCCTTTGAGTCTGCATGGTGCAGTCCAGTTTTGAGGTTCAGCTGCTGAGTTGATTGTTTCCTACATTGTTTTCCTGAATACTTTGCAACCTAATAAGCTAAAGATGAATTTTTTATGAATTTTGAAGTGCTCAGGAGCAATGTCTGGGGTTTTTTTTTCTCTGCTTTCCCTCAGGTTTGCAGCACATACCCTCCTGAGATCGTGGTGCCTCGAGCTGCCACCAAGGCCGTGGTGATGGGAAGTTCAAGGTTCAGGAGCCGAGGGCGGATTCCGGTGCTTTCTTACTTATACAAGGAAAACAATGTCAGTGCTTCACTGCCTGCTGCCTTGGGGGGAATGAGGCTTCTCCTTTTTGTCCAGTTCCCTTCTAATGAAAGGAAAGAATAAGATAATTATTAGATTTGAGGCCTTTGAGAGCTGTGCTTCTCTTAATGGCTTTCGTTCTGAGTTACAGAACGAGCTAAAGGCAAATGCTTGGAATGCATCCAGAGCCCTGCCAAAAGCACAGACTTTCCAAGCTTCCTGTTGGGAATTTTTTCTTAATCAGCTTTCAGCAATTCCTTCTGATGTGGGGTTTTTTAATCTCCTCTTTAGCTATATTGAATAATGTTTTATCAAGTTATATGTTAATTTGGCTGGATTTTCTTAGTGTTGAAGAGGAGGAACCACCCTGAAATAAATCCCCACTGGTTCAGAATAAGTGAAGGTTTCATTTTATTTTTTTTTTCCACTGAGGACCAAAATGTAAATTTGTAACTTTGCTGCCTCAGCAGTGTTTTAGATGCTGATGTTAGGAAAATTCAGTCACAGCCAAATTGTTGTTTTCCTGAGGAAGCGTGCCTTGACCTGGGCACTGCCTGGAGTTGGAAACTAATGTGCTGGAAACTAATGAAATTTCCTTAAAATACACCCAGTGCTGCTCTGAATGTGCAACAGCAACGGCTGATAAGGAAAAAACTCAAAAGAATGGTTTGGAAATAGAAACCAAATGGAAAACATGAGAAATTGCTGCCTTCCAGTACCTTCAGGGGGCTCATGGGAAGGAGGGAGAGGGACTTTTCTATGGGAACATAGTGACAGAACATAGTGACAGACTGTTTAAAACAGGTTTTAAACTGCCAGAGGGCAGGATCAGATGGGATATTGGAAAGAATTGTTTCCTGGGAGGGTGGGGAGGCCCTGGCACAGAGGAGCTGTGGCTTCCCCTGGATCCCTGGAGTTGTCCCAATCCCTGGAGCACCCGGGGATAATGCAAGGTGTCCCTGCCATGGCAGGGGGTGGAGTGAGATGTTTGAAGGTCCTTTCCAGCCAGTCATTCTGGGATCCCATGAACTGCTGTCATTTGGGGTGGGGACCATCAGGCAGATGATCAGAGCCTCCTCATTCCCAAATTTCCCGAAGCTGCCGTTTGGCGAGCGGCGCAGTGCGCGTCCACCGTGGCAGCAGCCCTTCAGCAGGAGCACAGAGGGTGCTTCCACTGTGACTGCCAGGGCTTTGGGGCAGCAGGAGAGGCTGCAGCTGCGAGCCCAGAGGGCTTTGGGGCAGCAGGAGGGGCAGTGCAGCGGGGCTGACTCTGTGTTTGTGTTGCAGGCTGCCCTGTGCCGCTGCAGCCAGCCCCTGGCCGGGTTCAGCGCGCGCTGCCTGGAGGACGAGCAGATGCTCCAGGCCATCCGAGAGGCCAACCCCGGCTGCCCCTTCATGTATGTTGTAGACACGAGGCCAAAGGTACCTCCATGGGCTCTGGGCTGCTTTTAAATCTCTTGTCTGAATGAGCAGTGCTGTTTCCAGTTTGTTCTGGGTGGGTCCTGCAGCAGGAATGTGGGATTGGGCTCCTGGTTCAGGGTGTACAACGGGAATGTGGAGTGAGCCCAAGGATTTGCCCTCCTGGGGTATCCTGGGTTTGAGGTTTGTGTTCAGGATGACCTGCCTGGAACAGAGAAGCATTTTCCTGCAGAGTCCTAAAGGATAAAAGAGAGAACTGGAAGTGGAGTTGGAGAGAAGCCTCAGGATTCAGTTCCACGAGGCTGAAGTGCTTTTACTGGCAGATCTGGGAGGAAGTGCAGCTCTGAAAGCAATCCCTCCCTTTTTTTTTATTTTTTTTTTATTTTTTTGCTTTTAAAAATAACACTCATGATGGAGCTTAATACAGCTCAGCACCAGTATTTGGGGCTGGAACTTGAGAGCTGAGGGTTTATTTGAGAGGAAATATTTGCAAAATGAAAATTTTAATGACTGTCATCTTGAGGAACTGAGTTTAGAAACCAATTCCAATTATTCTCTTGTAAACATATGGATTAGGAGTGTTGGTAGAAGGCAATTAGAACATGAGGGGTTTCATAGCACACAATTATTTAAATTGCTCTGATTATTTGAAAATGGAGCTGAGAACCTGCTTCACCATTCATTTCTTGCAGTTATTTTATATAAACTACAAGTTTAGTTAAACTATGGTGAGGGCCATAAAGAAAAAGTAATTTTGGGGAAAAGAGAGAGCATGTCACATCTTGCTCCAGTGTGTATTTTGGCTTTTAGTGTGACATTTCCTAGAGATCCCCTGTTCTGCCATGGTATGTGCATTTCTTTTGGTACAGACAGCTGCCAGTGGCAGAGATGTGCTGCTGAAATCCATCACTGGTGGCAATTTGTGCTAAAGCATTTGGTGACAAGGGAAGAATTTATAATTGACACTTCTCTTTCTAAGCCAAGCTGTGCCACTGTGGCAGAACTGAAGCACTGGGGTTATTTTATGTTTCTAAAGGTGTCTCCACCATATTTGACTCTTCTTTCCTCTCCCAAAAGCTGCCCAAATTGATAAGGGTGGGCTGAGCTGCTCTGTTTTGTGTCCCCAACAAGGATATACTGGTAGCTCTTGAACTGGCTTGGGGGATTTTAAGAGCAAGTGGCTTCTTTTCTACTTCTCTCCTGCAGTTGCTCTGTTCTTTCTGCTCAACTTGAATTTGGTTTATTTCCCTCTGGTGCTTGTATGTCCATGAAAATTTGGAATTCCTTTACTATTTCTATACCACCACGTATGTAAAAAATGTTAAAAATGGCTTTTCTAGTTCTGCTTTCCTGTGCCTGTCTGAATTTCCTTAGGTAAACTCACAGTTAGGGCAGGTTTGGGGTGTCTGACAGCAGCAACTGGGGGATTACACTACCCTAAGCAGGGCTTTAATGAGCCTCTGACTAATGAACTGCAGTAATTGTAATGAAACAGCTGAAAGAACTGTCTGGGAGGTGGGGAAGTACTGAGTAACAGCTTTGTCCAGTACATTTTCTGGGAGATTTAAACAAAAACCAACCAAACAAACAAACAAAAAAGGACTTGCAAAACAGCCTCTCTGAATTTGGTCATGATTTTCTCTTTCTCTTCTGCCCCTTGAATTTGCCAGCTGAATGCCATGGCCAACAGAGCTGCTGGGAAGGGCTATGAGAATGAAGATAATTATGAAAACATTCGTTTTAAATTCATTGGCATCGAGAACATCCATGTGATGAGGAGCAGCCTGCAGAAACTGCTGGAAGGTGGGTACAGCCTTGTCTTTCTTACCCCCCTGGACAGAACTTCCTGCTGAATATCCAGATGTTCCATGCACAAACGTGTTCTGATGCAAGCAAAGTCAGCATCTTGCTTTGTTTGCTGCATTCAAGTGGCTGAAAGCATTAATGCTGTTAAAATGCTTTCCTGCTTGACATTTTCTTTGTGCTTGGTTTTATAGTGGTTCAAAATTAGCAACTAATACTAAAAACATGCCTTTGTGAATGTGCTGTGTTAATAGAAGAAGAAATATTACATTTCACAGCTAAGACAGTCTCATGGTTGCTTCATGGCTTATGGAAAGCAAACCAACAGAGATTTTTCAGAAATGCTTTTTGGGGTTTGCTATATTTGGAGTATTAACAATATTTCTGAATTGAAATACAATTTTGGCATGATCTTCCAAAGACTTGAGTCTCATACATACTTTGTTCTAACTTTTCATTTCTGATTCCTTTCAACTAAACTTCTTAAATTAATGTTTTAATCCATAATTATCTGAGAATGCAGAGTAATTAAGCTCATTGTGATCATAGGGAAGAATGCAAAACAGGGTAAAAGAATCACCTGAGCATTGGGAATTAGGAGGGTAATGAGGCCCAGAGTTTCACCAATAAAATTTTGGAGAATTTTTCAATTCAAGTGCTGTCATCCAAAATAGAAGTTTATTGTTTTAGTAATCACCATAATGCTTATCTTTTTTTTTTTTAAATAGTTAGGTAATTGATGCTACCAGGTGGCCCTGCAGGATCCATGCTGACCTTGGACAAAAATGGGGCTGTTCCCACCCAGCAGAACGTCCTGATCACAACCTGAGTCCTCAGCTGCCTCTTCCTGGCAGAATTATTTTGTGGTGGGAGAAGAGGCAGAATAAAAACTTGTTTTCTCCCGTGTTCTTCTCCAGCAGTGATAAAATCTCATTCACTGGGGCTCATGGACTGTTCTGAACTTGATTACTCTGAGTATTTTCTGTGCTGGGTTTCATTAGAGCAGCTGAGTTGCCTTCAAGGCTAGACTTGTTATTTCTGTCTCTAAATTAGAGAGAAATCAAATCTTTGGGATGTGAGTGAGTGGTTGTAGATGTGATGGTGATTTAGAGTGAAGTAACAGCTCACTGCTGGAAAAAACACAGCTGAATAAATAATGAGTTACCCTTTAAGTAAAGAGCAGGAGGAGATTTCCAGAGCCTCAAATCCTCACAAAACCAGCGGTTTTTTAGTTACGAATTTTAGATATACAACCATTAGTGTGTCCTTTGGACAGGATAATGCTGCAAGCACTTGAAGATTTTTGGAGAGGTAATGAGGAGGTGCAAGGGCTGCTGTTCTGATTCTCTGTGTCTGCTCCCAGTGTGTGAGATGAAGTCCCCCTCCATGAGCGATTTCCTGACGGGGCTGGAGAACTCGGGCTGGCTGCGGCACATCAAGGCTGTGATGGATGCAGGTGTCTTCCTGGCCAAGGTAAAGCTGCTCTCCAGCTGCAGCTGCATTCCAAAATGCCTCCTGGTGTCTTGGGGATGCTGCAAGGTTGGGAAGGTGGCTCTGGGGAGAAGGTGTTGTTCAGGTTGACTTAATCTCTCCAAAAACGTTGGTGATGCTGGGCAAGTACAGCTCCTGTGTTCTGTATTGTAACAGGGCTTTATTAGAGCTCATTTGAAACATAAGATCACAAAATGTGAATAAATGACCTTTATAAACCTTTCTTTATAGCAGTGCAAACAACTCTGTGCTCGTTATTCATCCACTGCTCTGCTTTCATCGAGGGATTGTTTTGACCGGTTTCTTTTCTCCTGATTCGATGTGATGTAATGGGCAGTAATTTTAAATTATTCAACACAGTCCTCGTTTCTGCAGAGCTGGTGGCTTTGCAGGTCAGGCAGGAGGAAGGAAATCACTCAGGAGTGGTAAAGGGTGTGCAGGAAGTGTGTGGTGAGAGGAGTGAGTTGTAAACGTTGGTTGTCCCTCGCAATTTCCCCACCTCACAAGCAAGAAACTCTGGTGTTTCTCTCCTGTCCTACGTGGAAAAAGGTGATGGGATGGGGAGAAGTTGGCATCAACTCTTCTAATTTATCTTGGAGTTCTAATCCCTTGGTGTCCAATTATTTTTTCACTCATCCACCACATTTTTTCCTCAGAGGAAGAGCCTGGGGATCTTTGGCCTTCCAGAGATTGCAGGGGCTGTTTTCTACCAGCTCTAGCTGGACCTTCTCTTGATGGACTGGTGCATTCCCACAGGCCAGGGGAGAGATGAGCAGCATTCCCTGGAGGTTTGGGGTGGTGCAGGTGAGGGACAGCATTTCCCTGAGCTCTTGCTGTGTCCCTGGCAGGCTGTGAGGGAGGAGAGGGCCAGCGTGCTGGTGCACTGCTCCGACGGCTGGGACCGCACGGCGCAGGTCTGCTCCCTGGCCAGCCTCCTCCTGGACCCCTTCTACAGGACCTTCAAAGGCTTCATGGTAAGGACACGCTGCAATCCCAGTGCCAGCAGGCCCTGGGGAGGGCTCAGGCCATTTCCTGGGACAGGTGTAGGTGACCTACATAGAGCAGCTTTGGTTCTGTAACCAAATTGCTGCGAGCAATCGGCTGACAATTCCCAAATCCTTGTTTCCTGTAAGGTCTGCATGGGAGCCACTATTGAGGGATCTCAGCAAAGGATGCAGCTCTGGCAGCAATCCAAAAGTGCTGGAGGAGTTTGTCCTGCTGGTCTCTTATCTGCTGGGATTTGAAATTGGGTGAACTCAGCCCTGTCCCCTGTCCATCAGTCAAATCTGCATCATTTTTTTAAAGCCATTTCATTTCAATTTGGCTTTTTGCTTCTAGTGCAGTCTTTTTTATTAGTTTGCAGCCTCATCCCTGCATGAGTTCAGGGCATTCTGTGATGTTTCTTTCCATTCACCTCTCGTTAAATACCTGAAGAGCTGCTCTGTCTCAGGAGAGCTCCCTGAAGGAATCCCTGAAATCAGAACAATGCAGATTTTGCCTTTTCCAGTGCCAGGACTGTTTCTTTGCATTCCACGCTGGTTTTATTGTTTCTATTTTTGTTTCTGGATCAGACTGCAGTCTTTCAACAGTTAAAATTCCACCAGCACATGAAACATCTGCCTGGGCTTTGTCTCTGAGCAATCCTGCCTGAACTGAGAACAGGATTTAGCTTAGGAGGAGGAGCAGTGACACAGACACATCCCTGCCTGTCCCCATGGTTTGTAGGCACAACCCCTCTGACTAGTGGTTATTCCTAAAGGAATTCAGCAGCAGTGCAAAGAATGGGAAAATTCAAAAAACAATTTAAATGAAGTTTTCTAAGAACTCTCTTGTGAGTTTCTGCTTTCCTCATCTTAGTCTGGGTGATGATAACAGGAATTATCTTTATATATGATCCAGTAATGATGTAAAAGTAATGATGGATGCAGCTTCAGCCATGTGAGACATCTGTAGGGAAAGCAGATTATTTTATGTTATTTATCTGTAAGAAAAACAGATGATTTTATCTTATTTATCTGTAAGGAAAACAGATTATTTTATCTGTAAGGAAAACAGATCATAACAGTTATTATTCTCTGTAACTGCAGGCATCTATTTAAAAAGTGCCACATAGTTCTGATTTCATCCTGAACTCCTCATTATGCAGCTGGACTTATTCTGTTAAACATTTGTTAAACTCCAGTTGCTGATTTATTTTGCTGAATATCACAGCACTCTTTTCCAAATTAAATAGCACAGTGCAATATTAAGCTGATAATTCTTTGAGCTCAATATATATATATATAAATATATAAAATGATTTTAACAACTTAGAAACTCCCTCAAAATGATAGTTTTGAAATGAGTTCTGATTCCAGCAGGGCCATTGCCTTGGTAACTGGATAATCTATAGATCACAATTCCTGTTCCCATTGTTTTCTGGGGATATATTTATAGCAGTAGGGTCAGCAGGTTGTCAGATTTTTAGGCTTTAACATCAAAGGCTTCGTTTTGCTTTTTTAACCAAATTAATTCTCTTTTCTTAATGAACCTGCAGGTCCTGATAGAAAAGGAGTGGATTGCAATGGGCCACAAGTTCTCACACAGGTGAGAGGAGCACATTCCCCTGCAGGGAGTGAAACCAAAACTGTCTGCAGGTTTAGGGGATCCCATGAAAAATTGAAATGAAAAGGAGAAAACACTGGGAAAACATTGGCATTGGTGACATGGAACCAGGGGCCGTTATTTCATCGCTGTGTTTTTATTGCTTTAAAAAATCGTGGTTTGAATTCTACCTGCAAAATTCTATCATTTCAGGAGTGTTAGTCATGGAAATCACAGAAACATGAAGGTTGGAAAAGACTTCCAAAATCGCAGAGTCCAACCATCACCCAGCAGCAGCCCTAACCCATGTCCCCAAGTGCCACATCCACACATCTCTTGAACAGTTCCAGGGATGCTGACCCCATTCTCTGGGCAGCCTGTCCCATCCTTAGTGCTCCAGCCAGCCCTGCTGGTTCTCCTGCAGCCTCTCCTGGAGAGGATCTCAGCCACTTCCTCAGGACTTGCCCGAGTTCCAAGCACAAACTCGACCTGGAAGGAAGCTGATGGCAAAGGGACGTTTTGTGGTGGGTGACAGAGGGTTTATTCTGCTTTTTTCACCTCTCTAGGTGTGGCCACCTGGATGGGGACCCCAAAGAGGTGTCCCCTGTGTTCACTCAGTTTGTGGAGTGTGTGTGGCAGCTGATGCAGCAGTTCCCCTGCTCCTTCGAGTTCAGCGAGCGCTTCCTGCTGGAGATCCACGACCACGTTTATTCCTGCCAGTTTGGCAACTTCCTGGGCACCTGCCACAAGGAGAGGGAGGAGCTCAGGTGAGCTGGGGCTTCCTGGAGCCAGCAGGCCACAAATCCCTTGGAATGTCTGAAAAACATGCGGGATGGGTGTATTTTATGGAATTGGAGATGGTGGAATGTAACCATTTATCAAGACAATGTTGCCCTTAGCCAAAGGGAGAAAAGAATATGAATTACATCCAAAAAAAAAAAAAGATGTTTTAGTTTGGAGCACAATAAGGACTTGCAGATATCCCTTCTGGTCAGGAGAGTGTCTAATTTAATATCCTGTGCTTATGAAATCAATCAGGTCCAGCATAAAAACAATTCATATCTCCCTTAATTTAATTCTACTCCCAACAGCTGCAGTTATTAATCCACTTGCTGCTTTTTTTGGTGATCAGATGTTCTTTGTACTTGCCAGAATCTTTGAGAAGACCCATTCCCTGTGGCCTTTCCTCTTACAGAGGAAGCAGGAGCTGAGAAATCCTTTGTACAGAGGGTTTACAGCTTACAAAGAGCTTCAACCAAACACTCTACCTTTCAGTTTCCAGTAAGTGTCTCAGTTAAGAAGGGGAAGGAGGAGGACATTTCTTTCACTGGTAACTCAGGTTAAATCAAATAAATTTGCAGTGATTAGCTTGGTTTGTTTTACTTTTCCCCTCCATTCCTCAGGCATAAACTAAAAGGAGCAGTGCAAAGGTGAAATAAATTCAGATGTTGTGATTAAAAATAACATTTTTAATTTGGTGTTGAGAAAAGAGGGTGGGGAAGGGCAAGGAAAAGCAGAACTTCAGACAGAACCACACACACACCCCCTGACTGTTGGCTCTGTCACACTGAAGTGTTTCAAAAAGTTCCTCTTTTCCTCCTTTTTAATGTATATTAAGGAAGTCTTTCAAGCAGGAATTTTGGTGCCCAGTTCAGAGTTTTTTCTCAGGCTTTGCTTCTGCCTCACTCCTGGGCCTTGCTGAGAGAGAAGGGGATGAAAATGGCATTTTAAATGCTGTGTGTGCAAATGAAAGTTGGGAGGTTGGGCAAACCAAGGAGTAGAAGATAAACTGCCCAAGCTTCCAATAAATCTGCTATTAAAAAAAAAAAAAAAAAAGTATTTTCATCCTATTCTAATATTTGCTGCCAGAAGAAAAGTTGCCCATTGCTACCGAATTTAATCATCCAAAGCTGTGTCAGGCTTTAAAATGAATTCCTGATCTCAATTTATTAAAAACATTAAGCAACATGTATTTGTTGGTACTAATTGCCATTTTTTTGCCTGGTTTTGAGGTTCTGGTGTGGGATGTACAACCGCTTTGACAAGGGCATGCACCCCAAGCAGTGTGTGCTGGATCAGCTGCTGAGCTGCATCAGCCAGAAGGTGACACTGGAGGACAGCGCATCCCAGCTGGAAAACGTGAGCCACAATGGGCTTCACATGCCCTGGGGGGGTTGGAATGGTTAAATGGGATTAAATATCAGCATTGAAGGGTTGTTCTAAACAGCTGGGTCAAAATGAGGGGTTCAGTGACAAAGCTCTGTGTCTTAGAAACCCCCAAAACACCTCCAAACAAATTGAAATAGAGTTTTTAAAATACACCAGTGAGAAGAATATCAGTGTCCTTTGCTGGGGTAATGAGAGTGCTGAAAAGTTCAGGTTTCGTAATGAAACACTGGTGTTTGTGTCAGGAATGACAGGATCTGTGTCCAGGTGTTTCTGATGTTTGTGTCAGGAATGGCAGGATCTGTGTCCAGGTATTTCTGATGTTTGTGTCTGACATTTGTGGATCTGTGTGCAGGTATTTCTGATGTTTGTGTCTGACATTTGTGGATCTGTGTCCAGGTATTTCTGATGTTTGTGTCAGACATTTGAGGATCTGTGTCCAGGTATTTCTGGTGTTTGGGTCAGACATTTGAGGATCTGTGTCCAGGTGTTTCTGATGTTTGTATCTGACATTTGAGGATCTGTGTCCAGCTACTTCAGTGCTGGATTTCAGAGCTGGAAAAGAGGCACTGCCACAGGGCTGTTGTGTTGACACCTGATTTTTTGCCCTCTCTGGCATCTAGGTATTAATTATTCATTTTTATGCCTTTTTCTTTGTGCAGAGACTCCCTATCCTCGACGGCCCCTTGCCCAGCAAAGGCTGCACCTCACCCGAGGCAGGAGCTGCTGCTGCCAAAGCCCCAACTCCTCCCCAGGACTGTGCAGGGGGAGCAGCCCCTGTGCTGAGCAATGGCCCCTCCCTGGGGCAGCAGAAACACGAGGAGAGCCCAGCCCAGCCCCAGGATCTCGGAGCCTCCCGGGAGGATGGGCAGGCTCAGCACCAGGGATGAGCTGTGGGAGCTGCTGGGAGAAGCTCTGGGGAGCTGCTGCAGCCCCCATTTGCAGCTGAGTGTGAGTAGGGGTGTGCAGGGCTGGGGGAGCAGCTGCTGGGGGACACCTCCTGCAGCTCAGGTGATGCAGAGCTGCCAGGAGCCTGCCTGGCATTCCTGGGAGCTTGGCTTTCAGTGGGAACACGTGCATTTCTGAGGGTCAGGGCTGCCTGCCAGCACTGCTGTTTGAGGCTGGAAGAAATCATGCCAATTCCATGAGGAGCTGGGCAGTAACTGTAGGAGGAAGGATGCAAATCCCTCTGTTCTCAGTGGTGGTCCAAGGTCATCTTAGACCAAGAAAGAATTTCAGTCCGTCTTCAAATGATAAAAACCCCCCCAACCTTTCTTAGCTGTGAATGAATCTCTGCATGGACCCTTGCCTTGTAGCAGAAGTGATTCATGTTTTGTTTCCTATGCATATTTGTTACACAGAACCAAACCCCCCGTGCCTTCTCTGAGACTGTGTCCGTGTCCAGCCAGGCCATTGCTGGTTTTGTGTTGGAGTTTGCAGTGTGGTGTTGGGTCCTGTCTGTGCCCAGTGTTTGTCAGGAGGTTTTCTTCTGCTGCAGCTTCTCCGGGGTTTTTTGCTGATCCCCTGAGTTCAGCAGCCTCTTTCCAAGCTGAGCTCTTGAGGAATCAGCTTTTCTGCACCTCCTTTGTTGATGGCAGTGCAGCAAGCCCCAGAGCCAGCCTGGAGCACATGGATTTGTGACAGGATGGAGGATTGGAAATGAGGAAACACAGGAGAACATTTATGTGGAATTTTTCTCTCTTATATTATGATCTTGGTTAAATTGAAGCGAGTTAACTGTGACGAGAGTTCCAAGGTGGAATCATTGATGAGGCAGCAATTACAGATGGATAACAGATGGGCTATGTTCTGCTATTGAAATGGGGCCTAAAATGATGAAATCACTTGCTGGTTCTTGGGAATGTTCAAGTTCCAGGAACTTTAGGGATGTTTTGTGTGTCTCATGAGCAGTATCTTTCATGGCAGTGAATTTAGGAAGAATCAGAAGAAATGAGGACTTCTCTCCCCAGGGTTTGGGTGTCACAAATGAGTGTTTGAAGATCACCCAAAGAATCCCTGGGAGAGGCATCAGCAAAAAAACAGGTTTGATATAAAAAAGTGTGACTGAATTAATTGGCAAGGTTCACTCTGTTACTTATTAAATGGTTAAAGCACATGGAGAAAAACTGAAATAGGAAATCAAGCAACAAACTAAAATCATCCACCGTGGAGGCTGGGGATGGAAAAGGGTCAGGATGAAAGGGAGTGAGGGAGGTTCTCCTGTTGAGTCACGAGGTTCAGAGTGGAGCATCCTGCCAGGCTGAGCCCTGCAATTATCAGCAGTTCAGGCCTAAAGGTTTCCTGGCATCAGAGGATCAGGAGCAGAACTCAGCAGCAGCAGAGAATCAGCAGGTAAGGAATTGAACAAGGGGTTTATGGAGAATTTCCTACAAGCACAACAGGAGCTCCCTCAGAGGCTGGGCTCACAAATCCAGAGTACTCCATAATCCAGGAGAGCAGCATTCCCAGTGCTTCGGCTCTGGCACAGCCCCAAGGACCAGGTCCAGGTGTATCCCTGGGAAAAATCCCCTTTGATTTCCCTGCTATAGAGAGTTTTTATCAGAGTCCCTTTCCAGCCTGGCTGCAATTTGGGTCAATATCTTCATTTGAAAGAACAAAAATGTTCCACTTGGGTTGTTACTCAGGCAAGAAAAATCCGATTCCAGGGCTGTTGGTTAAACCCAGGAGCTTGTGCTCCAGCCCTGGGAGCAGCCAGTGTTCCTGATAAGCTCAGGGTGCTGCTTATCAAAGCCTGAGGACATTTCTGAGATGGTGGTGTGGCCTTGGGGGCTTGGAGGATTCACCCCCCTCAGGAAAGCTGTGCCACTGTCCTTGTTCTGTGCTGAATTGCACAGAATCCCCCTGTGCAGCTTTATCCAGGATGCTGCTCTGCTCTCTTTTCAAGCTGTTCTTTCAATTAGGTGTTGCCATCAAGTTTTCAAATCAGTTTTTATGTTTTAGAAAAAGTTTGGAAGCCAAATGAAAATGTTTAAGCCTTCCCAATCTCCAGTGAAAGCAGAAACATTGCATTGTAACACCAGAAAGTGCAATAACTGTGCTCATGTGCTTTTAACCCACAGTGAAATCACTGGGTAGATCCAGTGTCCAAAAACCAGCCAGAACCTCCCTGAGTGGCTCGTTCTGGGTAAGAAAATACCTATTTTATGAAGCACATGAAAGATCCAGGGAAGAAGAGAGCACAGAGCACTGCCTGGAATGGCAAAGGGGAAGTTTTTTAATATTGAGGGTTTGTCAGACTTAAACAAAGTTGCCAAGGAAGGAGTGGGAGCTACAAGAGTGCTTGATTAAAAATTAAACCCTGGAAATACTGAGCCAGGTGTGAGTGATGGATCAGCCTTGTCTTTCTGTGATGGGCAACATCCACCCCCAAATCTGAGAGAAAATGGGACAGGAAGCCAAGGCAGGCACATTCTAGGACCAGTTATTTTATGGATCATCAGTTCATTGAGTATCTTTCATAATTATCATTAGAGATCCCAAACTGCAGAGGATTTTGATTGACTGCTGAAGGACTTAAAGATACCACTGGTTAATTATTGTACAAATCCAGCTTGCAGAAGGCTCCTGGAAATGTTTGTATGTTGCTTTGCCTTTGGAATTGCCATTGGAGGAGTTTAATAATCTTTCCTTATTCCTAAAAAACGATACCTCCACAAAACTCCAGTGTTACTCCAAGTGTGCACAACCACCACCAGGTTACTCAGTGTTATAAGCTTGGAGTAATTTTGCTGCTTTTAACTCCAGTGGCAAAGCAGAACCAAACCCAAAAATTAATGTCTTTTAAAGCTCTTGGATTTTGTGTGTACAGGCTCAGGAAGAGGCTGTGGTGTATTAAAAGCTTTTCATGCTGATGCTGGAATTTAGGAGCTGGAAAAGATTCCAGGGTTTCCTCTTTTTCCACAAGCTCATGGTGTGAAAGGCAATGAATGAGAAGCTGTGTGGGGCTGGAAGAGCAGAGGTGAGGAGCTGTTCAGAGCCCTGTCCTGAGTTTAGTGGGAGCTGCTGCCCAGGAAGGTGTTCCCAGCTCCTGGAGATTCCTGCCTGGATTCTCTGTTCAAGGAATGGAGAAGCTGCTGCTGCTGCTGTTGGGAATCTGCTGCTGCTGCTGGGGAAACTTCCTGCAACTGATTTATTCCTAGGGGAGCAGCCCTGCTTTGTGAGGTCAGAATTCTGCTTTTATTTGGAGCAGTGCAATCCTCTCCCTTTGGATTCCTGCGACTTGGAGAGCTGGGAGGGAGCAGGGATCTGATTTGCTGCAGATGAGCTCTGCCTGTGTAAAACACCCCCTTTTCTGGAGCTGCTCCTGCTTCTCCAGGACATTCCATGGCTTCTCCAGGACATTCCATGGCTTCTCCAGAACATTCCTTGGCTTCTCCAGGACATTCCATGGCTTCCTGCCTTTTCCCAGTGTCTCCCATGCTACAACCAGGTGTAACCTTGTAGTGGGCTGGTGCCTGTTCTGCTCTGAAGCCCAAGAGGGACTCGTGGAGCCTCATTTGAAAAGTCTTTAATGTGGACTTTGTTCTGTGGGTTCCTAAATTGGGGTTTTCTTTTGTACTTGTCACCTGTGGGAGAGAAAATCCAGTTGGTGCTGTTTGCTCTGCAGGGAAAAAGTGGGAATAATTGGTTTGTCCATAGTTTTAGTTCTCCATGGTCTCCATAGGGGTGAGGAAAAGCAGTTTGTGAAAGCTTTTAGGTCTGATTTGCTCTTGGTCTGTTCCTGTGTTTAGTGATTGCCTTTCCAAGTTAATTCCTTGGAATAAAAATCCACCTGCTCTGATCCAGAGCCATCCTGACTGGGCTTGGAGGGAGCTGGGAAGCTTTGGGAAGCTCCAGGGAGCTGCCCCAGTCCTGCAGAGTGGGATTTGCCAGGAGCTGAAGGTTCCCAGAGCTCCACAGGATCTCCAGCTGGGAATGTTGGTGTGGAGAGCCCTGGGGCTGTTGCTTCCATCGCCTCTGGAAGCAGAGAGCCCTCAGAGGTGCTCCCAAAGCTGAGGAAAAGCCTTGGAAAGGGAAGAGCTCCTGCTGCAGTCTCCTTCAGCTCCTGGCAGACCTGGGCAGCCTCAGAGCCCAGAGGAGTTTCCTGGCACGAGGCAGTGCTGGATATCCAGGAGTGCCCAGGAGAATTCCAGGTGTGTTTTCCTCTGCTCTGGTTGGTTTTATAGGGACCTCTCCCAGCTATCCCTGGTTTCCATCCCTCCCTCACGCACATCCAGGCATTCCCTGGGGGAGAAACCTGCTCTGAATGTCCTCTTCATGTTTTAATTATCCCCCAGCACGTGATTAATTAGCTGAGGAAGCAGGGGATGGTAAACCTGAGCTTGGGACCAGGCAGCCAGGTGGGCAATTCGTTAGGGCAGGTGTGCTAATGACATTAATTCATGTGTCACCCTGGGAGCTGCAGGAGCAGGGCAGAGGGGCTGTTTTTGTATCATTTCTGTATTTAATATAGCAGAAACTACTGGAGTGACTCAGCACTGGATCCCATCCTCCAGCTGGATTTTCCTTGGCATCCCTGACCTGATCCTTGTAGGAATGTCCCTAAAACCCCGAGTGGTGCTGGCTGGGAATGTCCCTGTTGCTGTCTGTGTCACTGGGGAGGGACATTTGTGGGGGATGAGCCCCAGTTTGTGCCCTGAGGGCTCTGTGGGGCAGAACTTCAGTTCCTGCACTGCTTGAAGCTGATCTTGTCTAGAGGAGAATTGTGTCTTTTCTCTCTGTTTGTCCCATAGAGTCTCTCTTGGATTGCAGGTATTTTTATTCCCTACAAAAATAAACATTTTGCCTTTTTAAAGGAAGTGGCTGCTCTGTTTATTGGGTGATAAATCAGAACTCCACACTTGGAAAGGTGAAGTCACTTAAAGGATCTTAATTAATAAAGTGAGTGTGGAGCCACTTCTCCCCTACAGAAGAGAAAGGGGGTGATCCCCCTGCTTTGGGGGGAAATGGGGAGTGCAGGGTGTTTAAACCAGCCCAAAAAGGAACATAACTCATGGGAAAAAGGGAATTTAACCAATGGAACTCTAACAAATCTTGGTGTCTTCTGCAAACTGTGCAACTCTGGGTCTTTTTAAATTGTATTTAGATTTTCCTTTCTATGTTAAACCCAAGTATCTCCTCGGTGTTTCCTTGCTCCTGCTGCCACAGGTGTCTCCAGGCTGAATTCCTCAGCTTTCTGAGGAGCAACCAGAGCTTCTGGAAGGAGCTGAGCCCCAGTTTCATGGAGTGAAGAACTCACAGTCCAGCTGCTGGTGCTATCCTGGAAAAATCCTCTTTTATCCCGTTCTTTTTAGTCATGGATAGTGAAGTGTTAAAAGATTTGAGTGCAGACAAACTCAGCTGAGAGGGGAAGATGCTCAGGAGGGAGATTCCAGGACAAAACTTCCCTGTGAACCTGGGGAAGATGCTCAGGAGGGAGATTCCAGGACAAAACTTCCCTGTGAACCAGGGGAAGAGGCTCCAGAGCCGTTAGGCAACCCCTGAGGAATATTTTCCACCTTCAAAATGGGTAATTTCTATGTTTTAAGGCAATGAAATGGGCCTGGCACTGGGGTACACTGAGTCCCTTGGTGTTTCTCAGGCTTTTTCTCTTCTTGCTAATTTTAAATGTTCTTAATGCTGCCAGTGAAATCCTTCATTTACCTTAATTAGGCTTGCCTTGCATTTAATTGGATTATTAGCATTAACGCTGGCTAGAATTGATAAAGCTGCAATTTAATTTGGGAGAAACTGGGACAAAAGGTGCATTAACTGGAGTTTCTCCTGCCTGCAAACAGATCATGGACTCCTGTGTTCTCCTGGAATTTTATCTTCCTTCTCTTTGGAGGAGTGGGATACAAAACCTCTCTCAACAACAGGTTTTGGAGGTGTTGGAAGGAATCCAGTGGGAGTGGGAATCAATAAAAATCTAAATATACCCAAAAAGCCCCATGGATGGAGCAGGGGGCTCTGGGCTGGGCAGCTGGGGCTGCCCTGGATCCCTGGAAGTGCCCAAGGCCAGGTTGGACACTGGGGCTTGGAGCAGCCTGGGATGGTGGGATTGGGTGGGATGGGATGGATTTTAAGGTTCCTCCCACCCCAAACCCTTCTATCCCATTTTCCAAAGGGGAAGGGGCTCCCTGAAAGCAGAGAGCTGAGCTGGGGCTCCAATGCCACCAAAATTCCACAAGAAATGACTCATGGAGGAGAAGCAGCATTGCTGGATTCTTCCTTCCTTTCCAACTCCTTATTTTGTGTGTTGATGCACCAAATAAACGGGGAATTTCCATCAGCAGGGACGTGCAGGGATGCTGAGCTGCTGCCCGTGCCCTCTCCTGGATCCCAGCTGGATCCCGGTGCTCTGGAGCCACTGCCACGCCCCGAGGTGAGCAGCCTCTCCCCAAGGATGAGTTTTGGAATGTTGGGAGCAGATGTGAGGGCACAGAGGGACATTCCAGAGCTGTGCTGTGGCCCTGACTCCCGGCCCAAAGCAGGAGACACAACAGCCCCACTCCCCAGCTCTGCTTTCCCGACCTTGAGCACTGTTAGTAAATCCCTAATCCCTGCAAAATCATTTATTTGGGACTGTTTAGCTCTAAACTTTTAACTGATTAGCCCTGCTAAATCCACAAGCTCATTAGCTCTCTTCAGCTGCGTTAATAACGATAATCTCTTTAATGGAAGCAACTCCGGACAGGATTTACCTTCCCAAAAAACTCATTTGACTGGCATTAAATACCCTTCTGCCCTCTAATTCTTCCCCAGTTACCAGGGGGGCTGACCAAGAGCTGCTTGGTCTGGGGCAGAGGCCAGGCCCTGAGCTCAGGTGTGGAAGCTTTTCCCAGCTCCTCATCCTTCCCTGGGGTTTGGAGCAGTGGGAAGCTGATCCCAAATGGGTCAGGCTGCTCTTCCACCTCTGCCTGGGCTCCTGCTGGGGTTGCTCTGGCTCTGCTGCTGGAAATACCCCCTGAAGGAAGGATGGAAGGAAAGGTTCCTGCTCCAGGAGTGTCTGTGCAGGATTCCAGCTGGGCTGGGGGGTTCTCAGGTTTGCCTCAAAGCTGGGTTTTCATCTGTTCCCTGTTCCTGAGATCCTTGGTTAACAGCTAAACAGCAGCAGCAGCAAAAGAATAAGCAGATTATCATTAATTTGTCATTCAAGGATTTTCCTTTCATCTCCAAATTTCTCACATTTCACATTTTCTAGCACTTCTCTTGTCTGCATTCCCTTTTTTCCCTTTGTGACACACTGTCTTTTTCATGGCTGCTTTGATTTCTGTGGTTTGTGGAAGGGGCTTCCAGCCAGGCTTGGCTTTTGTGGCTGCAGCATCTTCCTGACACTCAGGAAAAGCAACCCCAAACTCCCCTCTCCTACTCCAGGGTTCATCCACATCACACTCTGTAATTCCATTCCTGCTGCTGCCTTTGGGGAATTGACCTTTGTGAAGCAATAATCTATTTTTGAGTGAATTTGGAGAGGAAAACCAAAAGTCTAAACCAAATCAATGTTGACCATTTCCCAGCTTTCCATGGGGAGGCTCCAGAGCAGGGAAGTGATGCTTGCACAGATCACACATTTCACAGAGCACCCTGATTTCGCTTCTTGCAGCAGTGGGGATTTTCCTGCTGGATAATTTGGGTCTCTCTCATTATCTCACACCGTGATAAGGCTGCCCCAAACCTCCAACCCCTTCCTGCTCCACCACTGAGGAGTTTGGAGAGGGTTTAAAGGGAGCTGGATAAAACAGGATTGCACTTCCCAGCTGACAGCTTTTGATAAGAGCCCCTGTGCTGTTTCCCACTCCTTTTGTTTGCCCTGGGAGGTTTCCAGCGTTCCTGGGTCCTGTTTAACTTTGGGAAGCTCTGCCTGTGGTTCCTTCTGGCAGGTGCAGCCCAGAGCGGCTCAGGTGGGAAATCTGGCCCATCCTCAGGACCTCCTGTCCTTCTGGTATCTAATAAATCGTTCTGCAGATTGCAAGTGGCCATTTGTATCACTCTGAAAAGAGGGAGGGAGGGCAGGAGAGGGGTTGAGAGGGAATTTGAGTGCCTGGCAGCAGCCAAGGTGAGGTAGGGACCCCAAACCGCCCCATTCCCTGCGATTTCTGTGAGGAAACAGTGGAGAAAAAGCTTTGTGTGTGCTCAGAGGGGTCGAGCAGCCTCCAGCACCTGTCCCAGCCTCCCCCCACCCCGCTATATTTACCCAGGGGGAGCTTTCCAAGAATGGAAGTGGTAAGATAAAACCCCAGAGGGGCTAAAATTAGCCCCGGGCCGGTCCTGCCGTGGCATTTCAGCTGTGAGCTGCACATCTCCGGCCCCTCAGAGCCCCGTCCATCCCAGCTCTGCCCGATCCTCGCCTGCTCTGCTCCTTTCGGGGTTAAACCACGGGGGGATTCCCCATGGGACCCCCTTGGTGCTCTGAGCATCCCCCACACCCAGGTAAGGCGGCACCTGGGTGGGCAGGGGGGGACTGGGACCCCCAGGGACAAATGAGTGCCCCGTGTCCTCTGTCACCACCTCTTTTTGGGGTCTGGACAGCTTCTGGCAGCTCAGGGGGTGACAGAACAGTGAGGGAGGTGCCCTGAGCAGCTGTGGCTGCCCCTGGATCCCTGGAAATGTCCAAGGCCAGGTTGGACATTGGGGTTTGGAGCAGCCTGGGATAGTGGAATGTGGGATGAGATGAACTTTTGAGTTCCTTTCCAAAACAAACCATTTTGTGATTTGGTGAGTTCTGGTTGGGGAACAGGATCTCAGGCAGCCCAGGGACCCTTTGGAGGTGTTTGTGCATTCAGGAAATGTCACAGCTGCTCTTTTTTCACTTGTGCTCCCAGTTTCCCTTGGGAATGTAACTGGGAACAAGCTGTCTGCTGGACTGGGATCCGCAGGAACCCTCAGCCCGTTATCCCCGTGCCTGGGCTGATCCCAAAGCTCCACAGCTCATTGCCATGAGGAGCAGCATCTTGAAGATTTGCCACATTTCTGTCCCGGTTGCCCAGTGTCCCCAGTGTCCCGGTGGCCTTGCCGGGCTCCCCCTGAGCTGGTGGCCGTGTCCCCGAGGCTGATGTGGGGACAGGTCCCCCGGCCCCAGAGCCCGAATGCTCGGTGCAGCCCCGCTGCTAATTAACTGTTTGCTAATGAATTGCTCCGTGCAATCAGCTCTTCCCCAGCTCCCGAGGGAACACGAGATGCCCCCGGGGCTGCCGAGAAATTCCCGTGGCCGTCCCGAGCGTTTCCAGCTGCTCAGGTGGCAGCAGGGACATCCCATCCCTGTCCCCTGAGGCCAGCCAAGCTGGCACGGTCCGGTACCACCCGGTGGGATCAGCATTCCTCCCCCCAAATCCCCCACAAAAAACATCCCAGAGCCTTCGTGAGGCCGTGATCATGGGGCTGGAGCAGGCGGGAAGGAGGAAAAGTGTGGAATTCTAGTGCTGGCATAGTTTGGAAAGGGAGATGCTGGAAGAGCTTTGATCCCTAATCAAACTGAGCATTTCTCATTCACCTCATCCTTTAGGAATTGGGACAAGGGATGGAGGGACAGGGCACAGGGAATGGCTCCCACTGCCAGAGGGCAAGGATAAATGGGATATTGGGCAGGAATTATTCCCTGGGAAGGGCTGGAATAGAATTTCCAGAGAAGCCGTGGCTGCCCCTGGATCCCTGGAAGTGTCCCAGACCAGGCTGGACAGTGCTTGGAGCAGCCTGGGATAATGGGAGGTGTCCCTGCCGTGGCAGGGGTGGCACTGGATGGGCTTTAAGGTCCCTCCCAACCCAAACCATTCCATGATTTCATGGGATCCTGACCCACCTAACTGCTACAACACCGAGCTCCACCGTTCCCTCAGCCTTTCACCCATGTGCTGCCAGGGCCATGAGCACATCAGCAGCATCCTCAGCCAATGTTTTTGGAGAATCTTCCTTATGCTGGGTATAAACTTCCACTAAAGGCAGCTGTGGGTGTCAGGGACTGGTTCTAACCCGGGGCTGGTGCTGCTTCTGCCGTTCTGCAGATCTTCGGCCTCATCCTTTACCATGAAAGCGGCACACGGAGCACAGAGCCGACACCATGAGCCTCATGGACATCAACAAGCTGTTCTCCCTGCTGCAGCCCGGGGATGAGCAGGAGGACGGCGAGGACAGCGAGGAGCTGAGCAGGGCCGTGTGCCAGGACGACCCCGAAGCGCTGGCCGGGCTCCTGTCCCAGGACAGGTACAAGAGGCTCATCAACCGCAGGAGCGGCTGGGGGGTCCCCAGCACCCCCCTGCGCCTGGCGGCCAGCCGGGGCTGCGTGCGGAGCCTGCGGCTGCTGCTGGCCCACGGCGCCGAGGTGGACAGCCTGGACGTGAAGGCTCAGACCCCGCTCTTTGTGGCGGTCAGCAACGGGCACCGCGAGTGCGTGCGGCTGCTGCTGCAGGCCGGCGCCAGCCCCGTGGGCAGCGCCTACAACAACTGCTCGCCGCTGCTGCTGGCCGCCAGGGACGGCCACGAGGACATCCTGCG